ATGGCGTCATGGAGCGGCAAATACGGACAGGGCTCTCGTGGTTCACATTACTCGGCCTCGCCTACCACAGCGGAGTGGAAGCGGGACCCGTCGGGCGCTCGGCACTACGCGGGCCACCGCGCCCTCCCGAGCACGACCCCCCGGGCGCGGGCGCGCAAGGGGTGCCAGAGCAGCAATCACACCAAGAACGCGCGCAGCACTTGCAGCATGCGCAGGTCGTGGGCGGAGGCTGCGAAGTCGGCGACCCAACCATCATCACCCCCACCTGCACCCAAGCCGCCCGCCAACAACGTGCCCCAGAAGTTCCAGGCGGTTGCGGCGAAGCTGTCACAGGCAGCCGGCGCGTCAGCAGCCCCGAGCTGCGAGAGGCTCCCGCAGACGCCCCCGCCTGCCTCGGCGTCGCCTGGTGGCACTGGGGCTGCATCCGAACCAAGCCCGGCGAAGCGGTCTCAGCTGGTCGATGCGGCGAAGACGCTCGAGGCCGCGCTGGCGGCCGCGCCGGAAGGGCCTGGGCTCGAGGAAGCACGACAGCAACTTCAAGCTCAGCTCGACGCGATACGCAAGGAGCTCGGCGACACGCGGCCACTCGGCAAGCGCCTCGACGGGGCCAAGGCGGCCCTCGAGCGCGCCAAGACCCGGCAGGCGGCTGCGGAGGAGAGCCCCCAGCTCGCGCAGCAGGCCGCGCGAGCAGCGACGACCGAAGTTGCGACGCTTCAGCAGACATCGCACAAGCTGGAGATGCAGATCCCGGGGCACACCGATCCCCCCAGGACCTCCCTGGAGGAGCTTGGCGCGCAACCGCGCGCGGCGGTCGAGCAGCTCGCGGCGCTCGGCTCAATCTCTCCGGCGGCGGTGGAAGAGGCCAAGACGCAGTCCGATGCCGTCTCGGCGAGGTTCCAGCCCACCCTGGAGCATGCGGAAAACGTCGACGCCCCCATGCGGATGAACGGCACGCAGGCCCCTGCCAGAGCGAGGGCCCGCTTGAATGGCGAGCGGCGGCCGAAGCGCGTGATCACCACCTTCGAGACGAGGGCCCAGAAGAGGAGGCAGCTGGCCCCCTGCGATTTTTCTCGGAACACCGCGGAGACGCAGCACTGATGTTTAAACATTGCTGCCTCAAGAGTTGTCTCGCTCACATAACCAAGCTAGCGGGATCTGCACGCGTAGGAAGGTCACGTTTCTCGAGCAGCAGATTGATGAGCGAAGCCTGGACGCGGCCGGCATCCAGAAGGGGAGGCCCCCCATTCCGAGCAGATCGAAGGCCAGCATTACAGAATGCTGGCTGCTGCTGCGGAGGCGGACGGCTCTCTGGGCGTCCAGCGCTGGGCGCATCGTCGCGCCAGCGTGTGTTTTTGGCACGCGGTGCCCCCGCGCATGTCGCATGCCGTTGTTCGCATTGCCTCTCTCGAGCTTGGATTTTTTGCTGCCCGCGCTCCGACGGAAGTCGCGCCCGTTGGCACGCGCGCCGAATGGTGGGCCGAGCTCACCCGCGTCGCTCAGCAGACGCAGCGCTCTCACGATATCCCGTGGCTCACGCTAGTTGATGCCAACGGGAGGGTTGGCTCAGTAGCCTCGCCTGCAGTTGGACCGAGCACCCCGGAAGCCGAGAATGATAACAGCTGCTCGTTGCGATTGCACGCCGAGGATTTCCACCTCCGCATCCGCAACACTCGGGGAACTAGCGGGTCCACTTGGACCTCGACTCGCGCCGCGACGCATCGCATCGTTTATATTCTTGTGCCGGAAGAAATTCATGCATGCACTGCGTCTCGTGATTTTGCGAGCCAGCGCAGTCCCTGCGGATCGCGCACACGCGCCGCCCACCTTCTTCCGCGCGAACAAACTGAACCTTCGCGTGCCTGCGCGCCGAGAGTGTTTCCAGACTTTGATGCCAGATGCCCCATCTTCAGTTCACGCCGACGACCGCGCTGCATTGCTGAACAAGTGGACACGTTGGGCCGCATCTGTTAATTGTCGGCCCGCCGGTTAAAAACCGCGCAAGCCATGGATGACGCCGCGAGCGCGGCAGGTGGCACAACATGCGGGGCCCCTGCGCCGTGCTCGCTTCGCCGCCACTGTCGAGCGACGCCGTGGGCACGCGCGTTTTGCCCCCCATGCCTGGAGGGAGCAGACCCCTTCATCCTTCCGCCCGCCGCGAGTTTTTGATTGCGCCCAGTCTGCGTGCAGAAGTACGCAAAGGCCCCATGCTCGAAGCCCGCATTACTGCCGGGTTTTTTGCGATGCAAAAGTGGACCCGCCCGGCGCGTGAACAAGACCGCCAAGCGCACCTAGACTGCATAGCTGGCAACGCGCCCCGCGCCGTTGATGCCAATGACCCTCGCCGGGCATTCGCCGCGGCGCGCGCGGTCGGGCACCGAGCGAACCGCCCCAACCCGACGGCTCGCTCACCTCCACCACCGAGGAAGTGAAACTAGCATGGCAGAGCCACGTGGCCAATGTTTTCTGCGGCGACGCGGCCAACAGGGCCCCCCTCCGCCTTCCGGCCACGGAGACGCCGAACGTTCCCCCCCCTTTCATCCCTTCCCCTTCTCTCCCCCCCCCCCCCCCCCCCCTTCGACGTTGGGCCCGAGGCCACCCGCGTTGCGCACGCGGCACTCGGCCGTAACAAGGGGGTCGGCCATGACGGGATCCCCGCCGAACTTCTTCAAGCAAGGGAATCTGCTCTGGCTTGCAAGTTTTCGGCTGCAAACGAGAGAATCAAAACCACCGGAGCATGGCCCCCCCAGCGGGGGGGAAGTCGTTCGCAAGATATTTTCAAGCGCAAGGGCGATCCAAAGAACACTGACGACTGTCGCAACATTTTGCTTGCAGACCACGCCAGTAAGGGACTTTGCGGCACTTTGCAACAAACGATTCCCGATGCGCACGCGCCCCACCAGCCGGAGTCGCAGTGCGGAGCTATCCCTCGCAGGGGGACTGATATGGCGTCCCATCTGTTGCATTCTCATATCGATCATGCCGAGCTTGCACGTTCGTGAATATTTGTATTACAAGTAGACTTGGCAAAAGGATTTGACGGCGCACTTCGGCAGTAGTTTTTGGTCGGGGGCGGATGCCTTCAAATTCACATCGATCTCACTTGATTTCGCTGGGTGTCTCGAGTGAATCAGCTGACTGGGCGTTGGCTTATCTCGCGGAGCACGGCCACCTGCTGGAACAGTGGGGAGTGGACGCCGCCGCCGCCGAGATGATTCGCACGCTCCACGAAGGCGCTTGGGTTGCAGTTTCAACCTGCCCACGTGCGTCACGAGCCGCACTGGAGGCCGGAACGGATGTAAGTTAGGTGCCACCACGTTGAATGGTGTCTACGGCATTGCCCTGAACCTCATATCCAGCAGACTCTGGGAAAAGGGGGTTCCTATGATGCTCCCCCTCCCTGGCGGTGCTTTCTGGGCCCCCCTGCCCCCCCCTCCACCGGCCCCAACGAGTCTGTGCTGGATGCAGCCTTCATTGACGATGAAGCGCTGCGGAACTCGATCACAAAATCGATGTACTGCACGGCACGATTTTCAATGTGTTTGAAGACCTTCATCTGCAGATCAACGCCTCGCCAGGAAAAACTGAGTCGCTGCTCATGTACCGGGGTACTCGCGCGACGGCGCGTCGCGAAGCTCGTCGCGTCGCCTCGGGGCAGCTCTTTATACAGGTGCCTCGCCGTGACGCGCGCATCCGCTTGGTAAGTTCGCACAAGCATCTCGGCACCACCTCGTCGCTGCGCGCTCGCAGCTTAGCAGATGCCACTTGCAAGGCCGCCAAAACCATGTCTTCCTATGCGCCGCTATCGCAAAAAATCTCCGGGTCGGCCCTCGTGGCGCAGGCACACAAACTGCATTTCATGCAGTGCCTTCTTCTTTCAAAGTTTTTGTATGGTGTGCACGTGTTTACGCCCTCTCCACGGTATCTGGAGAAGCTCGACACTGCCTATATGACCATACTTCGTCGCATTTTCGACGAGCCTCGATTCTGTCGAGTCGAACACTGCGACGGGGAGGTGCGATCTGCTTTGCGCCAGTCTGCGATCGAATGTATCACAGCCAGGACGCGCCTGAGGTACTGCGGGCGTCTTGTTCGAGAGCGCCCCCGGGCTCTGATCGCGCTTCTGCATGCGCGCCCCGGAGGGCAAAAACTCTGGTGGGTTCTTGCGTTCGAGGGCGACGCCGGTTTGCTTCGGCAGCAGCGTTGCCCAAACCTGCCGCATTCAACGATGATCCCGAAGCATGGATGCGCATGATGCTCGACGAAAACGGCCGGAAATCGTTCGTCGATCGAGTGTTTTTCTGCGACTCGGTGTGCGACGCCCGCGATGCTCCGAACCCCACTCCAGGGCGCAAATCGTATGTATGTCATTGTGGCGACACGTTCCTTTCCGAGAAGGCGCTCCGAAGCCACCAGCGAATTAAGCATGGCGCGCGCCTGGAGATTCGACGTTATCTAGCCGGTTCCAGGTGCCCAGCCTGCGGTACTGACTTTAATCAGCGACTCAGATTGATATCGCATGTCTCTGACTCGCGCCGCCCGCGTTGCATAGAATGGATTTCTGAGCACTGCGAGCCACTTACACATTCAGCGGTGCGCGCATTGGACGAAGCTGACAGAGAGCTTCGCCGCAATTCTCAGCGAGCAGGCCACAGCCATCACTTGGCTGTCGGTCCCGCCAAGACTGCTGCAGGTCGTATTGTTGGCCGAGCCTCTCACTGATGTGATCTGCGGAGAGCAACTCCAGGCGTTCTGTTGCACAGTGGTCTGTGACCTTTCCCGTTTGCTGCTCTCGCCCACACGCGTGCATTTACCCGTGATAACTTGAGACTACAATTCCTTGCGCAATAATGCTTTGGCCCCCGGGGGCCCGAATATGTCCATATCCACCGCCTGCCGGGGTCTCCGAAAGTTGATCCTCCAGGCGGTGGTCATGTATAACTTCCAGCCTCGGAGCTCCGCGACCCGATTGCGGGCTCCCCGACGGGCGGCTCGGCCGCCCGGGCATCGCCGCGCCCGCCGCCGCGGCCAGCACCAGCGCACGCGAGGGGCGCCGGCGGGCCGAGCGGCAGCGGCACGAGGAGACGAGGCCGGCGGCAGCTCCGGCGCTTGCCGGAAAATTGGGGGGGCGGGGAGGGGCGTCAGGGGATAGGGGGAGAGGAGGGGGGGAGGGGAGGAGGGAGGGGGGGAGGAAGGATGAGAGGGGGGAAGGAATGGGGAGGACGGGGGGGGGAGGGCGGACTCTACACCGCAGGGCCTGCCCCCCAGCAGGCTCGAGGCCAAACTGCCTTTACGAACCCGAACGGCCAACAGAAGAGGAGGCCCAGAACGTCCAGCAGAAGAGGAGGCTGGGCATGAGATGCGTGCGGCACGCGCTGCGCATCCCACTTCAGGCTGGCGTCCCTCGCTTTCCCTCCTCCTCCTCCCCTCCTCCTCCCTTCCTCCCTCCCTCCCTTCCTCCCTGCCTCCCTCTCTCCGTCCATCCCCTTCCATTCCCCTTACTCCCTCCCTCCCTTCCCCTCCCCTCCCCTCCCCACCCCTCCCCTCCCCTCCCCTGCCATCCGTTGCCCTCCCCACCCCTCCCTTCCACTCCCCTCCCCTCTACTTTCCATCCCCTCCCCTCCCTCCCTCCCCCCCCCCTCCCGCGTTCTCCTCCTTCTTATTATCATTAGTACTCTCATTCTTATTCTTATTATTAGTATTATTATTAGTATTCGTATTATTCTTCTTATTATTATTGGTATTCTTCTTATTGTTCTTATTACGATTGTTATTATCATTATTATTATTATTAGTATTATTATTATTATGATTGGTATTATTATTATTATCATTATTATTATTATTACTGTTATTATTATTATGATTAGTATTATTATTATTAATAATAATAATATTATTATTGTTGTTAGTCTTATTCTTATTAGTATTATTAGTATTACTATTATTATTATTTTAATGATTATTATTAGTAGTATTATTAATATTATTATTAGTAGTAGTATTATTATTGTTATTATTGTTGTTATTAGTATTAGTATTATTATTATTAGTATTATTATTAGAAATATTATTAACATCATTATTATTATTATGAATAC